ACATATTCCCCCTCCCATGGTTGTGGATGAGCAAATCATGCCTCGATCCTCCACTGCAAAACATCTTACAATCTATCTTAGTTTACACATGTTCTTGAAACTCACAAAGCAATTAGAAGGCTCTCTTTTCACGCCCCCAAGCTCAAAATCCTTTCCATTCCCCGTGCTTTGCTTCCAAACTTTGTAACTGCATTTATTATCCATCGCTGCTTATACTGTTCCCTTGTTATTTTCCTCGGACTTCTTCAGAAAGATTATGTGCTTCTCCTTTCGCTAGAATTTATTTCTCGTTGGTTGGATCAAGCAAAGAAACCCTCATTGATTTTGTCGTCACCAAACATTTCGATGCATACATCAACTTTCCATCCAGAATTTCAAATGACCCTTCGCACCCCTTACATATTATCCTACTCAGCACCATATCTACTTCTCATACATTGTCATACCGAAACTCCATCCTACCATATCTATCATACTTACTCGTCAGGCATGAAACACCGCTTTCGTGAGCGTACGCTGTCATTTTTTATTTTCTCATTAATGCCATGTTGTATTACACTCCGAAAAATGCTATAAATACGCCGATATGGGTGGGTAAAGCTTTTTTCTGACGACTTGATTGAACTTTACCTCGTTACTCGGCAGATTGATACAAGCAGCATCCATTCCACCTCCGTGGACATTTGTTATATCTTTCTCACTCTGTGCGATTCCGATTAGAGTGATCTCGATCCATGCAAATTCCCAATCCCAGTTAAAGTCAGTGGTTTGACACAGAAGCTTGTTGGAAGAGCAAGTGGCGAAACGAAAACAAGCAATGTGAGAATCAACGGATATTTACTGGTTAACCCAGGGATGTTCGTTATCAGAAAAAGCCAAAGGTGGGAATGCATAACTAATCGCGACCAATGATGTAGTAGGTTGACGTCACGCAATGGGCGTGAACGTTCTCGAAACGACTTGATGCATCGGCTGGACACCTTTGGCTTAAGTGGCTCTCTCACTGACAATGAGTTTTCCTGGGGGTTTAACTCACCAAATATCGATGTTTTACTCTACCGACAGATGAGCGGAGGCCGCTTGTAGTAGGCTCTGTGTATCCCTTTGTTGGATTCTTAAGGACTGACATGTTACTGAAATTATTCTCAGCTTTCGTGGGAAATCTGAAAAGCCTTGTCCAGGCGTGCTTGTTATACCACATCCGAGATCAAGTGTAACTAGACAACCTTTTGTGCGCCATTGCTGATATAGCGTAGGGGGTTGGTGACAATTATCTCGAGAGGTTGTTCCTCTTGATAACGTACTTGATGCACTACCGAATACTCGAAAGGACTTAATCCCCACTTACCGTGCTTTAGTGGGAACTATCAACCCAGACTCGTTCCGACCATTTGGGTCGCGCTAGGTTACTTAGAGCCTTCTTTCAACCCACGACCATACACAACCCGCATTCTGATTGAACCAAGAAGGAAGCTCATTTATCGAACCTTTGTACAATTTTCTAAAGAATGCTATTAGGGAATCCATGATTGCAAGTTTTGAGCTTTAGGTACATGATTTTGGGTGAAAGCACCAAACCCTTCTATTCTGATCGACTCGTCTTTGCTGTATTTTGTTTTGTGCCTTTCCACTATTGTTACTTAATTTAGCTCTTCGTTTTTGATTTTATTACTTGCTTCCAACGGTTCAACAGACTGCTAACGCGGGATAAGTGGGCAGTAATTGATTTATTATGGCGTGATTCGGGTTTCTTCATAATATTAAGATTTTGGAGCACCTTCGCGGCTCCTCTTTCAATGATCCCCTAACGAAGAAATGCTCAAAGGGTTCTGGTTCTGTTCCAATCCCATTTAAACTTGAAATTCTGCAGCTTGAGAGTTGTCCCGATGGAATTGTTGGAAACTGAATAGCCTCGGGAGCATTAAACCTGTATCGGACCATGCTGTGTAAGTATTGTCAGGCAGCATTTTTCCAAGTTGATCAGCCTTTACTCCGGACCTCAGAGCGAGATTTTCCACGAATATTGTGGTACATGGTTGGCACAATCTTTCCTCATCTTAGCGGAAGATGATGCGTTAGAAGCCTTTAATGAGCCTAGAATTGGATCGAATCCCTCAACAGAACCCGCGTTGCAGTTAATAATTCGCGGTGGAGAGGAAGTATCTTAGACTCCATGAAATCAACAGAGATTGTTTTGCTCTTGCCTTTCTTCTGTTTGCAGAGATAACGATTATTGGAACTTCTGGTAGCTTTGGTTTACTGGTGCACGAAACAGGACACTCGTTAAGCGAAGACCTGTATCATCCCTGGAGACTGGCCTGACACAATCTAAACTTTAACATTTTCGGTGCTGCTTCATCAGCTGTACGAGATACCCAGTAATCGCGGCTAGAAAAGAAGTTTCGTAAGGATGACCTTGACTGATTTAGTGCAAAAGTTTGGATTGCATTAGATATACTACACTGTTATTGTTGCCGGCTTCCGAATTAGGCTTGGAACTTGAGAACCTCCTACTAGATTCGTCGTGACTACCGATAGAATGTTCAATCAAACATCGGAAACGCTTCATTTTCTGCATCAAAGGAAGTACGGTCAGTGATGGAATAGTCCAGGTGTCTGGTTTGCAATTCACTATTCACCAATCGCAACCTGTGGGTACGCGCGATATCGCAATATTTTACCTCATACGTAACTGGTGGTCGCGTGAAAGCAGAGCGTCGATGTGAGGTTCCCACATACTACTTATAACCCAAGTTCAAGTGGGACTGGATCAACGGGAGATTCCCGTGGATCTTCCTCTTTGAACTTGTCGTTTAACCCGGATATTAGTTAATCGTTATATGTGTTCTGCATGAATAAAAATAAATAGTGTCAGCTGTACGCCGTAACGGTGCTTTCCTGCCGCGCGACCACCACTAGTCGCGCGCGGGCTGAGTATATCGCGAGGACACCCACCCTACGCGGATTCAAACGGGGGACCTTATACTTGCAAACTCGGCGCACAGACCATTCACCCACTGACCGGCAACACAACAAACGCGGACCACCTTACAGTTAACCTATTGTTGCACACGTGCCCCACAGTGTCAGTTCTAATTGCGCTATGATTGCGGTAATCTTGAGCACATCCCTAATCGCAGTCATATGTTTAAATTAAGCTAAAGTTACCGCAAGTTTTGTCAAGGTTTGGACGTTACCTTCGTTTCAGTCAGTCGAGCCTACATTTAATGTAGTCTGCATTTCAGAGGCAAATGGAACTCACTTTCTACTTTATGAATAGACAAAGTACCATCAAAAACCATGGAAATCAAAGGTTGGTACAGTTTTCATAAAAGCAAGCCGAACCCAACAAAATTCATGGTTTCTCCTCTTAGACATCTCGGCACATAACAAATGAATGTTAGGGGTTACCCACACGCAATACTGCACTCCACGACCGGTTTCTACTCATCAGGTAGAGATAGCAGCACAGAGTGGGTCGGTACATCATCATCAATACGCGTTAGCCAAGGATGAGGAACTCACCTCAGCTAATGTGCCGCAACACACAGTAAGACATAAAGCAACGTAGACTTAAAAGCTATAAAAGGTGATAATGCTAATATCACATTTGTGATCGTTGTTGGAGGAGGAAGCTAAATAGAAGGGGAGGGACACAGAGTTGAAGTTGACTAGTGTCTCCAACCAAACGGGTTCATCATCCTTCGGTCCTCAGCCAGGCAGTTCGGGAACACCAACCGTCGCCAATTTTGAAGTAAGGGACTTCATTCAGATTATCCAAGTCATCGCTTGGCTTTCCCTCTTCTTTTTCCATACACACACACGGCGCGCACACAACCCACGTCGCGGGAATCGTTAGGCTGGCATGCACAACACGTGGCCCGGCCATCGGAGCCTGGTGCGTGATGCAATGGTGCTGAGTGGTTCACTTGCTCTTCCAGCAACAAATGCGCGTCACCGAAAACGCTCATTGCCCACGCGGTGCTCCCTCCCGACATAAGCTGGCACCTTAACAGTTATCACAGTCACCGGACAACCACTCGCAGTGGCTTTATGACCTCTGGTGGTTACATCATTAGATAGGTTACCTTGCGTTTCGGTAAGAATGGTGCGCCTTCTCAAATTCTAGTCATCGCTGGAGAGCATCGGGGTATTGGTTTACTAATGGAAGGTAGGATGTATAGGGCAAGCTGCAGTGCACCTAGCGTAACGTTTTTGTTCAGAAACAAAAAGCGTCAAGACGCTGGTCGGGTTTGAACATGCGACTCATTGCTCAACACGTGTAAACTATGTTGATGTCCATCATTTGCTGTTTGGGAACCCCGGTATGCTTATTGATCTCGGATAGCCTTCGATGACTCAACCATGTCCACCAGCCTCCACAGCATACACCGTTTTCTGTTACTGCTTCTGGTTGGGGAAGCCTCAACTTAGCCGACGATTGCGTGGCCTAAAGGCATTTAGAGATTAACCGAGGGGACTAGGATTGGTGCCGTCTCTGAGTAAAGAAATGTCGCAATCGATCAACTTGGTCACAAATACTACTCGAAATCGCGCTGTCATGACGTCAGCGCGCTCCCTCAGACATTCTCCTCTTTCTTATCGTTGATTCTGCAATAAAACATTCGCTTATGATTTCCTTTCTAAGGCACTTGTGCATATCTGTGTAATTTTCTCGTTTGCTATTTTTTATCTCAATATCTTGCGATGCGACTGAGGTTTGAGCGAAACGGTTCATCGACCTCTTCAATTTTCATTGCATAGAATAGCAAAAGATAGTTTTTTTGTCTTTAATCATTCACTAGCCTGACATAAACGGCTCTATTATAAGTACCTGTAGAATACCACACATTGTAGCTCAGTCAATCACAAAGACGCAGGGTATATTGGTCATATTGAGGTCTGGTTTCTCTGCAACAGCTCGATATACAATCGAACGTGATGCACTATATCTCTATTATTGCCGCAACCCCCATCAAGGTATCTGATTTTATTCCACAGATAACTATGGCGTGCGGTTAACTTTCACTTATGGGTAACGCACTGGCACCTCGTCTGGAAAATGCGGAGAAGACTGGCGTACTTCAGTTGAGTAATTTGAAGTTGGTTAAAGTATGCTATCTTCAAACTACGGTGGTTCCTGATTTAGATCCCAGAGGAGGTAAAGAACTTGCAGAACGTTCGGTGCTTGGATTTGTCCAATAATCGATTGGAAGTTATCAAGCCATGGATCACATGCTTCAAAATGTTGAAGGTGCTGAACTTAGATAAAAATAAATTGAGTGAGTTCCAGGATTATTTCTTTTTTGCACTCCCAGTGTTCAACAGTATTAGAGTTAGATATTTGGTTAATTTTAATGTTGCGGTTTTTCTCGTAGACCGTTAAAACAGCAAGCCCCCCTACGGATTTGTCATACATATCTCGGTTCCTCAATCAGTTAAAGTATCCACTGCGATTCGGCGGCTATCGGTCGGTAGATGACTAACCACATGTACACCTGCTACGCACACCTACTTTCCACTGTTCCGAACATATCTTACAATCACAGCGATACCATAGGACCGAGGTCTGATTGCAATTGTTATGTTCTCTCCCAGGTTGTGGATGCCAAACGTGTTTCCCCTCAAGACATGAACATAGCTTTAGTGAAGCCATGTGGTGGTTCATGATTAAAATTTCTGATCCGTACTGCTTTGTTTCTTCACTGTGTACCTGCTCTGAGATCGCTTTAATCACAGGTAACCAGCTATGCATCAATTCAGAGCCTGTTTAGGCAACTCATTTGACATATCTTAAGACTTGGTGTCGCTGAATCATCGGTAAAGCACCCGAGTCATCACTGTCAACTATCCTACCGCAGTGCAACTCAATAGGTTAGTTTCCAAAAACAAAGCAGCAACGATGTTTCACCTCTGTTATGCATCAAGAATGTGACCATGGTTAGAGAGGAGGGACAAGAAGCTCACAACATAAGCGTCTCCAAGTTCAGCTCTTCGTCACATCAGCAACTGCCTCCGACCAAACATCTTTATCGCCCTTCGGACCCCAACCAGGACGTCGATACATCAACGGAGGCCAAGTCCGAAGTGACCACGTGCGGGCGTCCGATATTTTTTTTCCATCCTGATTCCAGTCACGTGAACAGCGCACTTAGCGGCAGTCGGTGTACCAACGGGCGTAAAACATGGGTGAGCCATCGGATTTTGGTACGTAAAATAATGGTGTTGGGTGGTTTGCTTGCTCTTTTTGCTCACTAAGCGATACAGCTAGCGCAATCACTAATCACGCGGTTTTCCTACCAGATATGAGCTGAACTTAGAGTGCACCGATGGTCGAACGTAACTAGTCTCTTTACATCTGTCGATCTAATGGGCCAAGATTCACAAGCGTATGGGAGGGTTGAGCGGACGAGAACACACTGTAGACTTCACTCATCATGGCGATGGCTATTTTGCACCAACGCCATAAATAGCGAAGGTTAGCAAATACGCTTCGAGCTTTGTTGTACGGTTCGTGGCCTCATCTCCTGTTCGATAGGCGCTGATATAACTCCCCAAATAGTTTACTTTTGAACTAATTCTATCTGATCCCCATCAAGGGATTCGTCCGTACCAATCCTGGGGCGGTTTCGCATCCCGAGAGTGCAAAACACAGTTCACAATGACTTACAACCAGTGCTAATTTCTCCAGTGCTGCTTGGCACGTTTGTAGACAATCAGATAGAGGCAGTATCGTCGGCATATTTCCATGTCAAAAAATCGATCACTGGGAAGCAACTCTACACCTAACTCAAGTGCGGTAGGCATCAGTGTTAGCAGCCTGACGTGTTGCGTGTTATTCTGTGTATTTAACCAAAAGACTCAGTGCGGCATCTTCGGCCCAATAACTTTCCTGGTGCACGAAAATCACGAGGATTTCTAAGTACCCACAGGCAGCTGCTCATGGCCGACTTTGTTGGGTATTAATTTTGCTGACTAATTGGCTGACTAATGCTGGCTAATTTTCCTGACTACGACGGGTCGTTGTCTCATCAGTGATGGTATTAGCTGCTTAAAAGAAATCATCTTGCGCTATCCTGCACCCTCCTTTATCATGGTCGTTTTCGGCCACCTTAGATATTGCTGACAAATATGATCAGCGGTCCGGAGCGGAAACACTTTCTTTGGTGGAGGCTTCAGTTTGCGCTGTACCGGCGAGCATTCAACAACCTTGATCAGTTTCAATGATAGATGTTGCATTAGAAACACCAAAGGGCTGGCCATGTGTGGGAGCACCGAGTGAGCAATACTGCTGCTGCTGCTGCTGTTTGGCAACGCTTCCTCTTCCTCCACGACGAACTGTCTTGGGAGCTCGGATCATGTACGTTGTGTTCTTCGCACACTTGTCGATTGACTGGACTGTCATGTGTATTGTTTATCAATCCTGATTCACGTAGTTAAGTAACGTCCGGATTATTAGACGGTGCAACGGTGAAATAGGACTAATGGAATAGCCGAGGTGGGTCAGTGCGTGCCGTCCCATTGGATAAGGGACTCAAGATCGGCCAAATGTATAGATGGAGGCAGAAATAAAGAAAGGTACAGGCCGGACATCGGTACGTCGCACCGATGCTTCACTTACATGCAAACACCACCATTCGTGTGCGAACAATGGATACTTCGCGTTTGCCCGCACCTACGAAGCCTCAAAACGGTGATCTTTGGATTATAAGATGAACGCCTTAATCGCTCGACCAGCGGCTCGCTTGTCATTGGTTAGGAATCCTATCCGGTATACCATAGTCCAAACGTCTGCGGCACTCTTATATCTGGCTCCATTTTGGCTCATTTAACGAGTAGGTTTTTTTATCTGCTCCTCTTGAATCGACCTCTTCTCCGCCATCTTGTCAACGGCTTTTTGTCATGGCGATAAACATCAAAGCGACTGGATTCGCCTGGCCGTAGTTGGCCAAGTAATTGCAGCCGAATTCTTGTTTTTCTCTCACGAATCTGACTCTAGCGTGCAATATACTGTGGAACCGTCTCCCTATTTCTGACACAAATTTATCCTTGGTTACTCTCAATGAACACTGTTTATTCGTTATTCTGCAGAATGTTTTCCTCTCGAGCTTTGCTCCTTTACGAAATTGGAAACTTTGAGCGCTAATCAAAACAATCTTATCGGACTTGTCGCGCCAGGACTGTCAGCCAGCTTCGATGCCCTCGTCAATCTGCGATTCGTGCACTTATCATGCAATGAGTTAACCGAATTTCCTGTGGAGCTTTGTATTCGCTCTATTCCTCTATCTGTACTTGACTTGTCCAACAATCGCATTCGGCTAATCCCTGATTGTGTTGCGGAGATTCAGGTGAGTAGGCTCTAGTATGACCGTTTTAGCCTCGATGAATGTGAGAAGTAGCTTTTGCTTATGTTGTATTTGACAGATTTTAATTTACAAGGGCTGGACCGGCCTTATGCAGTAGGTTCCTTATTTATCACGTATCGTGTGTGGTTTCAAGTGATAGCATACCACACGGCACGGCTCTTCGTCGACATCTTTAGACGCACTCGTACGCAATTGATCGATGCGAATACTGTTAACTCACCCATCCATCTTAGCCCGTTTCTCATATGTAACCACATGGGGTTCGCGGTCGCGTGTTTCAGGCGTTTCACGTGCAACATCCGCATCCCTGATAGGACTGCTTTTCTAACACAGGCTAGGACGCCATGACAATATGTCAGCCTATGTACACTCGTTTGCGAATGCTTGGCACCGAGGTACCAATACAACATGTTGGTGTGCTGCTGGTACCTTCACTTTTTGCGAAATCACAAGTCACAGCAGGGCCAAAAAAATCACGCTCTCTCAATTCTTGCACCGTTTTATATGAACTCAACTCTCTGATGCAGAATGTATGCAGGAGAGCTAATAGGAGTCACTTGCTTGCTGAATTCCTGCAGCGGTCTCAAATCCGCTCCTTTTTAAGCTCGTGGCTACACGAAATTTGCCGTTCATGTACCGACGCGCTGATCTACTCCCACAATCAATCAGCTCAATTGCATCGACGATCATTCCTTCATTTAATGTAACGTCGAAAACAATCATGCCATCTGGCTGGCTTGAAGGACTACCTCTTTTTGTGCCAGCTTGGTGCCCCAGACTTAGAATCGTCCGGAATCCCGCCACTACTGTCGCTTGATTGACCCCCGTAGTGAGGGTGTCAACTATGTTGACTTTGCTGTGGTACGTATCCATTGAATGCAAAATTCAGTAGTTACCAGCGGTTGCTGGTTGCATTCTGTAGTTTCATTATCTTGGCCACATACGCCACACATTACTCGGCGCAAACTGAGCACATGGGAACTCATCTTGTGTACTCTGGGTTTTTTCATTTTCTGTATCTGAGGAAACCGTCGTCATCTACGCATCACTCTCTGTGCATTTGCGATGGTTGAAGGGCGACGGCGAGGAACTAGATCGAAAGAGCGTTATGTATTCACGATCAATACGGTACGCTCAGTCCGTGGATACGACCCAACGGGCGGTGTTGACTGCGTCACGTTCTGCATATTTTCTCACACCGTTTATCGGACGAAACTCCGTTTGCGCGATTCGAAGACGCTGGTAGCTAATTTGAGAGCACGGCGTGACACTAGCTATCGACGGGCTGTGTGGCTGGCTCGTCTCGAATTCGCGTAGCTTAAGTAGTTATCAAACGCAGAGTGCAATTGGAACCAGTATGTGGTGCACTACTAATGAGTAGTATGGTGAAACGAGCAGGCGCGGCGAACTCAGCGAATACTGGATCACGGCGGACGACGAGCGCATAGTGAACAATTCAACTAGCCCTGGAAATGGATGGCACTGGTGTTGAACCTATCCCGTACCGTCACGGCAAGCTGAGTCTATAGCACAAGGCGTAGCGTGGAATCAAATGGCGTCACGAATGATGTGCGCAAATGAGTCCAGCTGTTCTGTGGTAGAAATGTTATACCATGTGTACATCCGTTCTCCAATACATAACTCGTTCACACCGCCTCGCATTTCACAAGTGGCCCAGCCGGAATGTTTTTAGCATGGGCTGTCTGTAAAAACGATTGGTCTGGTTGTGCTGCACGGTGAGCATCAGAATCCGTCTGACCGCATTGGTTATGCCTGGTTTTGTTTCCTTTCAGGTCCTTCTCCTGGAAGAATTTACTGGCATACGCTTTTCGTAACTATCACGTTCTCTGCTATTCGTAACAACAGATGACGACGTAGATTAGTTTATCGGAGGAAGCTTCGTTTGCGCGATTCGAAGATTCTGGTAGCTAATTTGAGAGCACGGCGTGACACGAGCTATTGACGGGCTCTGTGGCTGGCTCGTCTCGAATTCGCGTAGCTTAAGGAGTTATAAAATGCAGAGTGCAATTGGAACCAGTATGTGATGCACTACTACTGAGTAGCATAGTGAAACGAGCAAACGCTTTTCGCAACTATCACGTTCTATGGTATCCGTAATAACAGATGACAGCGTACGATCGGCCTACCGTCTTTAACACATCTTAGCCTGGAGCAACCCAAACGGTATCCGGCGAGACAGGTCTGCGCCCCACACTCCTCTAATAGATCACCGATGTTCTATTTTCCAACTAATTCGCCAAAGATGTCCTTAAGTTTGCTTTATGGGATAGTTTACACATCCACAGCGAGCAAGTACTTTTCTTTTTTACACACTATTGGTCTACATCGATTTCATTCGAGATAAATTTGAACCGTTATTAGTAACATGTAATACGTATCTACCTGGGGACATCGTTGTAGATTAGTACAAAAACGCTCGCCTTCTGTCGCCTGTTCTAAAAGATTGCGCATCACCCCGTCTATCCGCGTGTTACCTACATCCACGTAGTCGCGTATATTCCCTATACTAGACTAGTAGTCTATATACCAAAGCCGAAAGGGTGGGAGATATAGTGCGATCCTAAGGACAGAAATCAATGTTCCACACGGCCAATTGAACTGAGTTGACTGCATCCTTGACCGGAGCGCAGTTCATCCACATTAGGTTTTAACTTGTTGTGCACTGAACAACTTTCAGTTAACTTCGATCATAGCTAATCGATCGCTCGACTTTGGTCCGGGTTAAAATTATCTTAAACCTAACGGATCTGACCTTGGCGAATCGAATTATAGATTGGAGAAAGGCGAGAGCGGAAATTTATGCATCAGCTTAATTAGATTCTGTGTATTGCAGTCCGCAGATGGGCTTCCATGTAGAAAAAAACCTTTCCATTAGTACTCACATCATTGTTGCCGGTCAATGATATCAGCAAGAAATATCAGGATTGCGTGACTGTTAGCCACTATCGCATCTCTTTAGCCTCTTTGCTACACGAAATTTACTGTCAAAGTACTGACGCACTCATAGTCAATAAGCCCGCATGCATCGACGATCATCCTACCATTTAATAAAACGTGGAAAACAACCGGGCCATCTGGCTGTTCTGACGAACTACCTTGTTGTTCCACATGAGTGCCTCGGGTTTCTTTTGTTCGAATGAGGTGGTGAGTTTTCACATAGCAAGCGTTTTCCCTTCACGCGCCCGCAATATTTGTGTAATAACACTGCCATGTGGCGGATGCAGCTCACTACTAACTAAACGCTGCCCCTTGCTTCGTTCCGCAGCGCATAGTAGTTCAGCAAATGTTTCCTGACTATGGGGATGGTTGGGTCCCTAGATACCGACTCACCAATTCAAAGGTGAATAAGCTGAAAAATCAGTAATCGACTCCGTGGGTGAGATTCCCTAACTTCGCTCCGCTGCTCTGCTTGTAAGCTCATAGAATCGGGGCAGTCTCACCTGCATACTTCGACTTTGGCAGCTGGATAGTATTTCGCCCCCATAACGAAATCTTGGACTCTTTTACACCCTCCTTGTGCTCTTGCTTCTCCCATTCGTGCACCTTCATATGTCGATAATCCATGCTATCAGTTACCTATGGATTCGTGTTTCCCATAATGGTTTCATCGATACCCCGAGTCCGGAAAGTGATCTGTCCTGCACCGATCCTCATTCTGTCGGATACGCTTACTGTGCATACACTCATGGAGATTAGCAAATAGGTATGCTAAGAGCTATCCGTGTTTGTCACCTTTCCGAAGTCCAGTTACAGGACCCCAATACTGTGCTCAAGTTAACACCTCCTACCAACCACTGAGTTGTAGCCCACTTGATTCTCCCTGATGAGGCAGAAACAGTCACAGAACTATCAGAGTAACCACCTGATGTATCACAACAAGAGCTGTATCTGAATTCTATTTATATGAGCGGAAACACTGCAACACAGTGGAATTGAGAAGATATCATCATCGATACACGTTAGCCGAGGATGGGGAACACACCGCAGCTGCTGTGCCACAGTACAAAAAGTAAGACATTAAACGATGTTGACACGAAAGCTACAAAAAGTAACATAATGCTAGAATCACCTTTTTGATGGTTATTGGAAGGAGAAGCTAAAGGGAAGGGGAGGGACAAAGACTCACAACACACGCCACTGAGGTCGACTCTCCGCCATGAGAAGGAAGGAAGAGAACCAGTTATGCCGCATGTTACAAAACGACGGATATCCACGAAACTTTATTAGAAGTCGGAAGAGAAGAACGCCTCAGAAGCGGCAAGAACAGACAAATAAACGAGAGGTGCTTCCGTACATCGACAGCGTTTCTGAACTAGCAGCACGATTAATACCTTCAAAAAAATCACCTTAATGCACATACAGTATGCTACCCTGAAAGGATTGCTCTCAAGCCCAAAAGGTAATATCAACCAAGGCATTCAAACCAATGTCATGTGTCAGACAAAATACGACAAATGTAATAAACACTATATCGCGCAAACAGAAAGAGAATTGTGCACACGAATCACAAAGTATAAGAGGACGTGATTCATATTCATTGCTTTTTATGCACAAGGATAAAGCAGCTCGTCATTTAGACTCGGAAAACGTGAAGATTCTAGCACATGAAAATAGGATGCCGGCAAGAGAACTTTTCGATGTATGGTGTTTTTCGAAGAATTCAATCAATCGACACGGGTTGGACGCCACCTACGTAAACATGGAGCAGAAAACCACCACCGTAGTCTCGGATACGCCTACGGAAAATTGCGCGATACGAACAGCTCAGGTCACATTATCATCCCGTGGAGTCAAACGGGCATGAGTACGAAGCATGGGTCGAAGAAGCCATTTTCAAAGGTCACCTGCACAAATGACCAATAATGATGACCTGTAAAGCGCATGTGCGCGACTACTCGGTCTACACCTAATTAAACCGCTCCGGTCCGCCACAGATTAAAGCACTGATGTTGTCACCTCGA